GCTCCTACCTTCCGCGGATAATTTGGACCGGCAGACAGAAAGGAACGAAGCCACATCAGCTAATGCCAAATTTAACTGGGAAAGTCAATTTTTTACGAGAGAACGTTTTTGCGGATTCCTTTGAAAATTTTAAGGAATTTGCTTCGTATTGGCAAAAATTCACTGAAATTTGCACGAAAATCCGCCCAACCGTTTCCATGTAAAAAAATAATTCGCCCATTGGCAATAGCTGATGTGGCTTGGTTCCTTCCTGTTTAACGCGGTCCATTTAAAAAAAGATCGAATTTTAAGCAGTTTTAGCATACAATTTGTGCATTATTTGAAAGCTGAAAATTGACGAATTGAAATCTTTCAGCGTAATTTTATTTCATCCTGTGGACTAGGTATTTATTCCTGCGGTGTTGAGTAACCTTTGGTTTGGTAAACTTTGGATACATAGTCCTGCCTTGAAACAATTTTAGTAAATATTTAGGAACATTTTTTCTCTCCCCTTTTTCTTCCCTCTCTCTTCTCCCCCCTTCTCCCTATTCCCCCCTTGTCCCTTTTTTTCTTCTCCCTATTTTCCTTCTTTCCTTGGTTGGCCCCTCTTGGGATCCGCCACTGTGAGGAGTGTAATTTTTGAAACATCGCAACTGCGACACATGTTTTTGCATTTACATTGTTGGAACCTCGGACCGCTCTTCTGACATGCCATAGAATAAAGACAGAAGCGAAAGCCACCCCCATTTTCATGTCAACGAAGCATAACGAAGGGAAGCTGTTTCAATATGTACTGTTTACATTTGCGGTATGAGTCGACGTTTAAGAGAGGTCGAATAATAACGGATAGATACGTTTTTTAGGAATTGAAAGAGTTTTCTTTAAACTAATCTATTGTTAATCCGGAGATGTACTGTGAATTCGCTTAAAATTTAAGGGTTTTTTCCTGTATTATATTGGTAGGTAACCTCGAAATTGGTTTCAATAAGTACCGACTCTGAGAAGAAAAATGTTAACATTGGTTCTTATGGAGCTTTCACTTCTGTATGGACATGCTGCGTTGTTTCATCGAACATTCAGGTGCAACGTATGACGTAGCTGCGGTCTGCGGCCCCTCGATTATAAGTTGCCATGGTAGCGCCCCAAGTTTATTTCAGTTCATCCGATCTATCGTCGTCAGGAACATGAAGGTAACATTTAATCATTACGTTTCTTTAATTTTTACTATGAATATAGTTTCAATCATCAGACTCACGATCGGTGGCTTTCTCTGATTAAACTTTTAGGAGAATCAGAAAGGGCCACTAGATAAGGTCTGACGTAGAAGAAAACGTCACATATTTTCTTTTCGAAATCTGACATGGAAAACAATTGAACCGATTAGTCTCAAGATCACGCAAGCGCCAAAATTGCGAATGCGATAAAAGCAGGAAATATACCTTTTTATTAGCTTTGCTGACAATCCAAAAAAAAATATTTTCTTTTAGAGGGCTGTTTTGAAATCAGACGTGATTGATCATACCAGAGAAAGCGAAGAGAAAACAACCCCTCTACTACCTGAATACAAATAGAAATTTGCGCTTACGTGATTTGGAATATAATCGGTTCACCAAAAAAAAGTGAAAGTGATTTAACATTTTGGATGTAAAAAAAGTGTGCGAGAACTCACAAAATGCTAAATAACCCGCCACGGCAGTTAATTTTTCATCTTGACATTGCTAAAGTAACTGCTCTACACTGGTAAAAAAAACCTCTTGGTTCAAGAGTGCAGTTTCTTGTCGCCAAATTTAAGAGTCTAGACTCTTGTTTCAATGCAAAATCTGCTTGAATCAATGCAAAATCCGCTTGAAACAAGAGTTCAAGACTCTTAAATCCGGCGACAAGAAACTGCACTCTTAAGTCAATGCAACGCGGCATTACTCCAAGAGGTTTTTTTTTTACCAGTGTAGCAATTAATTCAGCATTTTGTAATTCTCGCACACTTTTTCTGCACCCAGAATGTTGAATCAACTTCACTTTTTTTTCCGTACATTGCAACAAGGTCAGGCTAGAGAGGGATAAGTCTTAACCATGAGCAGTAATATCCTTTGAATGTGGTGGAACCCTCTTCAGAACAGCAAGGAGCACCGGTTTTTTAACGCCCATCTCTGAATCTTGAAAAAAATGCTAAAGACGAGCCAAATAAACGAATGACCTCCGCTGGTTTGCGTCAGGAGCAGCATACAACTATTCTAGCTTCTCGATTGTGCCTGAAGTATCCTAAAAATTGAAGGCGTTTCGGTGATCGGCGCGCTGACTTTTCATGAACGGTTATAATTTTGATTACATTTTGACGAGAAAATGTGTGCTCTGGTGTAGGATTTCTTATCCCACCTGTAATGGAATTTCAGTAACTGGTTTTTAAATGCCACCTTCAAATCTTGAAAAAAAAATCCTGTAAGAGAGTCATCTTAACAAGGAACCTCCTCTGACTCGGGTTAGGGGCAGCATACAATTATTTAAACGCCATGGATGTGCCTGAAGTATCCAAAAAATTGAAGGCGTTATACAAATCGAAGTCCAGTTTCGGACTTTTCATGAACTTCTTTTTATTCCTCATACCTTTTTATTCGCTTTGCTGACAATCCAAAAAAATTATTTTTGTAGAGGGCTATTTTGAAATCAGACGTGATTGATCATACCAGAGAAAACAACCCCTCTACCCCCTGAATAGAAATTTGCGCTTACGTGATTTGGAAAATAATCGGTTCACCGAAAAAAAGTGAAAGAGATTTAACATTTTGGATGTAAAAAAAGTGTGCGAGAACTCACGGAATGCTAAATTACCACAGCAGTTCATTTTTCATCTTGACATTGCTAAAGTAACCGCTTTAGCAATTAATTCATCATTTTGTAAGTTCTCGCACACTTTTTCTACACCCAGAGTGTTGAATCAACTTCACTTTTTTTTTCCAGTGATTCAATTCACACACCAGAAAGTTTTGAAATCGACTCCTACGCGAGATATTAACGGGTAATTTTAACGTAGATTAAATGGAAGTTCGATTATACAAATGACATTATATGTAGTTTTTCCATTCAACCAATGGTAATAAAACACATTTATATCTGATTCAGGAGTTGATATTTAGACATACCGTTGTGTGATTCATTTTCCTTGTGGAATTTTGCAGACAAAACACATGACTTTGCGCTTTAATTCATACCTTGTATAGAGGTCCATTCTAGCGTGCTAAGGAAGAACGCCGTATGAACCATCAGGCGATGCAAAGCACCTTTGATAAAACACGAATTTCCTATCAAACTTTGAATATTTTCTTTCCAATTTTTCAGATAGTTTTGTTCGCAATTTTGCCTTAAGTTCCTGCAAATTTCAAAGAAAAATATCAATAACTCCCCTCAGAAATAAACGTTTTATCGAATGAAATTTGGCAACTCTCGAATGTTCCTACGGCGTTCTTCCTTAGCACGGCAGCGGCAGCACTGACATGAAAGGGTTACAAGTTGCAAGGTTACGCTGACCGCCATTAGTGCCATATCGCCTTCAATTTTTGAGATAGGCCAAAATCACCTTCCGAGCAGCAATAACTTCGGCCAATTTGAGAATTCGTGTTTTGTGTTATTCCAGAATCTTGCCTCGTAGTAAATTATGTCGATCTCTTCACGACGATTCTGCGGGCTGGTTATTGTAATTGACAGACAAAGCTATAGGGAAAGGAGACAAATTAGAAATGGAGCGTTCCTATTAGTAGAAGCAGGTCTAACTAACAGCAATCCACGAAAGGCTCTACAGGAGTTAATCCGTTTTTACCCCTTAGTCAGTAGCGATCACTCGCTCCAACCAATATATGATCGCTCCATTTCCTCTCTCTGCCGTGCTGAGAAAAAACGCCGTATGAACATTCGAAGGTTGCCAACTTTCCCTTGATAAAATATGTATTTTTGAGACCAATTTAAGCATACTTTTCTTTGAAATTTTCAGATATTTTAGATACAATTGCGTAAAAAATCGTCTGAAAATTTTGAAGCAAAACATTCAAAAACTTCCCAGGAAATTCGGTTTTCATTGATGGAAATATGGCAACGCTGAAAGCCTGAAGGTTCATACGGCGTTTTTCCTTAGCAAGGCAGCTATAACCTTTTTTCCTATCCATTTGTCTATCAATTTCATTATCAGCCCACGGAACTGACACGAAAAGATTATGGAAGCTCACCTTCAAATTTTGAAATAGGCCAGAAAATATCCTCCGAGCAGCTGTCATAGTTGTCGATTCGTACTGTTCTGAAGTTTTCGCAGTGAATTCAGGAATTTTTCGGTGAAAGGGTGTATGAGGCTTGCAATGCTGCTATGGATGTGCAGTTTTTTTTAGCGTTTGCGGAAGATGAAATTCATTCACGGCCACTTACTTCCTTACACACTGAAAAAAAAATTCACGGCGTTTTTACCACTGTCCGTCGGTATCTTTACCATCTCACTTTTTTTACCAATTATTGGTCATTTTACGAAGACAGACTGGTAAGCTTACCTAAAAACCGGTATTTTTACTGTTTTTTTCAGGTAAGAATACCACTTTTATTGGTAATCAATTCCCGGTAACTTTGCCATTTTATCTCGGTAATTCTACCACAGTCGATAAAAAATATTGGTGTTTTTACCAAGGTCCAGTAAAATTGCCGAGAAAGTTCAATAATTTTACCGAGATTTCTCGGTACAATTACCAATACCATAAATGGTAATTTTACCAAGAAAAAACTGGGATCAAATAGAACCCTGAATTCTTGGTAATTTTACCCTTTTCTTAGTAAATACACCGAGATTTTTTTTTCAGTGCAATAGTGAGGAAAAACTCAGAGCAGATTCAAGGAAAAATTCTTAGGAAAATTGTCGGCTAAGTGAGTTCCAACTCGAGAACTACGTTGCACAATCTGATTAGCACTGGAAGTCTTATACGCCCTTTTAGGTACCGAATCATGCTTCAACTATGTGGGTCTCTTTGCGCCTGGTGGCAACGCCTAGTGGCTCATACGGCGTTCTTTCTCAGCAGCGGCAGCACACGTCTTTAGTTCCATTTAATAGAAATACGTCCATCTGGCAACGCCTGAATGCTCATAATGTGTTTTTCTGTAGCACAGAAAAATAGCAGATCAGACATCTTCTTTTTAGGTTACAATTTTTAAAAACAGCATCCCGTGATAATGGTGACATCAAAAACATGTGAGAAAAAACGGGAAACAAGGCTAAAAATTACACATGAAAATCCGAGACGTCTCGGCCCAAAACTGAGCCATTTTCAGTCAGCAAAAAATAAAATATAAAAATTTCAAATAAAAACCTGCAGACTAAAAGATAGCCGAGAAAATAATAAAAAACAAGCAGTGAACTCCAACACAATGTGTTGATAAGGCGCGTCATTAACTCGCACATATCAACCCCTTTAGTTTTCATTTACAGAGATTTCAAAATAGGCAAACAGCATAAAAAGAGAATTCACGATCCAACACTGCGAGGTCAAAGACGCACCTTGACGAGACCGTGTATTGTGAAAGTAGAAAGCTATTCGATCGAATTTAAGTTTTTTGATCTGCCTCAAGCAAAATCTTATCAGATTCTTGAAGAAAAGTGCTACGGAATAATTTAAGCGAAGAAAGGAAAAATTCTGTCGAACTCCTAGAAGATAAAGTCGATTTAAAGGTATTTTGGGGCTAAAATACCCAAATCACCGGTAGTAAAAATCCCGTTATATTATTGAAAAGAAATTGACTCGATATAAATGCAATTGCATTAAATACGTCTTGATTTTGTTATTTTAAACGTCTTTCCATGCAAAGAAGTTCAACCATGTCGTTGCTTTATTCATTCATGAATTGAAAGTAAGCAATCTACATCCCGAAAATCTACTGATTTGCCGTAAAAAATTGCAGAAACTTGATATACCAGGTCGATGCACCCACTCGTTGAATTTACCAACCAATTTTGTGAGTGCAAATGTGTAAGAATCAATATGCTATAGTCATTTTGGGTGCATTTATTTTTCATGAAACAATAATAATTTCAATCCCGAAAAACCATCAATTTTCCGTATAAAATCGAAAAAATCAAAATATGTCAACTCCCCGACGTGAAAATTAGATTCTACGTATGTAAAATGTAAATACTTATGTATCGATATGCTGAACAGAACTATGTGTGGACAGTCAGAAGCCCGCGGCAACATTAATTCAACAGAAAAACTGTAAAAATTAGATAGGATTTTAGCCGCTTTGCCCGCCTCTCCTCGCTACTTACAACAAACCGTTCTTATACTCATCTCAAAATTTTTCTCAGAGCTTTGGGTTATTATCAGCTTCCATTTAAACTCCGGTTCGATGGCCGAATCGGCTGCCAAAAAAGCAAGCCACTGTTGAGGGGTTCTATGAGAAATTCGTGATATTATCGGCTCTCAGGAAATCACCCCATGGCTAAAATTGGTGGTATAAATGTTTAAGTGCTTAAAATAATCGTATTCAAGAAACTAAGGAATTAAACTATGGAGTCAATTTCTTTTTAATAATATAACGAATTTACTACCGGTGATTTAGCTATTATAGCCCCAGAATACTTTTAAAGCGCCTTTGCGTTCCAGAATCTCGACGGAATTTTTTTTTTTTTTTTTTTTGCTTAAACGATTCAAGAAACATTGTAGTTAAAAATATAAAGATTTTTCGATTTGGACGTATGAAAAATGTTTAACTCGTTCAGGCACACCGTGTATTGTATGGAGTACTGCTGTTATTCGACCGTTGTCTTCAGGTCAAAATTCTTACAAAGAAGCCCCTTGCAAGAGGCAAATTTTTTGTAATTTCTCCCAGTTTTTTCAGCGTTAGGTATATAAATGAATTGTTTGTCAAATTTTGAGGTCAATTATATTTAATTGTAATTTATACTTTCTTTTTTTCCCCTTCATTTTATTTTTCGTATCGAGGAGTCGAGGTTTTGTTGATTTCTTCGGATTTCGATTACTGTAACTTCTCTTCTATTCGGCCGATTTTTATGAATGAGGTCTCTTTTTATTTGTGTTTTAACGGAGAGTAAGGAAAAAATTGCTAAATACATGCGAAACAATTTTTTTTGAAAATTGGATGAATCCTAGCGTGACGGTGAAATGGTTAATGAAGCGTGAGTAATTGGGGTACGGGTATCGGCCGCGTTGGGACCCAAGGCCCATTGTTCTTCGTGACGCCGACGCAGTGATCAGGAGCGTGGGGACGAGAGGGCTTAGTGGACTCCTGTATGAGCCACGTTTAGCAAATGGTCTAATGAGTCTCGAGGCTCATCACAGATTGCACTTACCACTATCCTGGTGGCCCCGGCTATCAGAGCAAGGAGTACCAACTTTTGAAAAGGATAACAGTGTTGTGGAGATATGTCAAAGCAACGTTGTGAACAAAACGGAGTGAGTGAAATTCTCATTCAAGGAGTGCCGAACTGGTCAGCCATCCTCGAATCAGTTCGCTTGCTTCCGCTTATATATGCATATTTTAAATCAGCGCGCCCCATTCTAAGGTTTTTTTAAAAAAAACCAAGAAACGTAGACTCTTGGTATTCATTACACATAAACTAGCGAGCCCCAGAATGAGAAACAAATTTGAATCATTATTATTGACGGATTAGTAAACTTTTTACACGCTTTGGAAAATCTCAGAAGTTCGCGGTAGTCACTTTTCGGTAAGGAACTAGGGGACTCGGTTATTGTATGGGGGGGGGGGGTCGAAACGATCGCAAAGGCGGTATACTACGTATACGCGCCAAAAACTTTTTTATACGTATTTTTATATATTTTATTATATTTTTACATTTCATTTTTATTCTGTCGACTGAAAATTGCTCAGCTTTGGGCCGAAACGTCTAGGGTTTGTTATGTGTAAATTTCAGCCTTGTTTCCCGTTTTTTCTCCTTTGTTTTGGACATTTCCTTTTTACCGAGCACCATCAAAAAAGTAAAAAAATAATAAAAAAAACCTTTTTATACGTATTTTTATATATTTTATTATATTTTTACATTTCATTTTTATTCTGCCGACTGAAAATGTCTCAGTTTTGGGCAGTCTAGGGTTTGTTATGTGTGAATTTCAGCCTTATTGTTTCCCGTTCCTCTTTTTACCGAGCACCATCAAGAAATGAAAAAAACGACGTGATTTTTCCAGGGCTCAACCCCATACAACAGGAACTTGCACAAGAAACATACGTGGGCGAGCTTAGGTCGTTGCGTGACATCACGGCCTGACCTGTGTCCTCACCAAAGCAGCATCAGAGACAAACTCGACTTCAACCTGGACGCAGTTTACTGCCATAGTCTCGAACTATTTCCTCTCTCTTCTGACATCGTGCGTCAGAAAGAGACGTTCCGTATCAAACCCTGGTAAGCCTGCAACAGTGGCGTGGCGTGAATTGCGATAAATCGATTGTTATGCCATTTAAAACTATGGAAAAGGATCGATAAACAGGGTGTTCACTGCGAACACCCTGTTTATCGATTCTTTACCATAGGTTTAAATTGCATAACAATCGATGTATCGCAACTCACGCCACGCCACTGGCCTGCAAATCTTCCTATCATTGTAAAAGGCGAATCATCGCGAGTAGATTTGGTTGACCTCTAAGACCGAATCCTGATGAAGAATAGTTTTTTTCCCCCCAACCTAATCCAATAGTCAGTCGAGCTTATAAGCAACCGGTGTCTGAACCAAATCTGAAATTTCTCGAGCTATATGTGTATCCCGTAAGTAAGACTTTCACGGTCGAAGTTTTTTTTTTCAGAGAAAGTAAAGTTGCGCTTTACCAAAAAAACGAAAAATGGCTGGAGAAACGTACAAATATTGCTAAATGGTGTATCGACAGATATGTTGGAGCGCCTTCAATTTTGTATGATACTGTGCAACACCTCTGTCGTGAAATATTTGCTTGAGGCGCCGTGGCACGCTGCGGAGCGGTGGACTGCCGGTCAGAGCAAGTGCGCCTTCAAACCTAAGGGGAAACTACAATCATTGCGCAATGTGTGAAGTATCCCCTTAGGTTTGTAGGCGCCAGTGCGCATTTTGCGCTGAGAGCTCGCCGCTCTGTAGAATGTCAAAACTTGCAAATCAGTTTAAAGGGACGATCGCCCCCCGCCTCCTGGCAGTCCACTCCTGTTAACAGGGTTCACATGAAAATGGAAATTCGCCCTTGGGTCAGAGAATCTGCGTCCCGAGACTCTGAATGAAATTGGGATCCTTCATCTTTACCTCGATATGTCCATCCATAAGAAATTCAGTGCGACAGACGAACCTATAACTTCTGCCCATTATTTCCTCTTATGGTTGTGGTTCATAACAGGGCCCTTCAGCGAGATACCACACGAAAATAATGGCATTCACCTGAATAGACCTCCACGTTCGAACCTTCGCGAATTCTGGAACTAAACGTCATTACCAAATACTTGTTATTTCAATTTATGGTAAGCGAGGAGAAAATCTATGGTTTTTTTTACTGGTTAAGAAACTAATTTAAATCTTACTCTATGATATAAAATCATGAGAGTGACACAAATAAACAGATCGACGGTGTAAGTCGGCAATCACATAACTCGTTTGCGGTGTCTGAAAATCTCCGCCTTCATCTTATTTTTTAAAGGAGAACAAATGGACCTCATTCTTTGAGGTTTATGCAGAATATTCTTCACGCAGAGAAGAAAAGTCAATGCAGTTTCAAAGAGTTGCCGTTGAGTAGTTTTCTGTTTACAAAATAAAGTATGACAGGAAGTCTGCGACGTCGCAAACCAAGTTATATGATTGCCGACTTACACCGTCCACATGTAGTCATAAAGGAATTTTACTGTCAATTTTCTTATTTTTGTCGGATTTTAATATTCAATGCTACTTACTGAGATTGTGACTTAAATTTGCGACTTTGATTGCAGGAGATGTCTCCAGGAACTGAGAAAAAATAGTCCGGATACTTGCACCTCAAAACTTGAACCTATGATTCAAGACGTTCGGAAGGAGAGAATCGACAAGATGCAAGTTTATATTCCGCCTGCCCACTCGGAAAAAACCAATGCTGGATATTCCAGAAATATTGACGGCACCTTCTTCAAATACTAACTTAGATTTTCTCAAGATCAGAGATGAAAAGTGAAATTTCGCAAAATTTAAAATTTGTTAATTTCTTTCGGAATTATTCATTAAACCTTCGGAAGTCCGGAAAGCGATTTAAATGGTGGCTCCTGTTGATGCGGCAGTACTATGCTACCCTCACTTTGTCAAACTAAGGAAGAACGTCGTATGAACATTCGAGAGTTGGCAAATTTCCTTCGATAAAATTCCCATTTTTGAGGAAAGTTGTGAATATTTTTCCTTGAAATTTTTAGAAACTTTAGGTGAAATTGCAAATAACATTATTTGAAAACTTGGAAAGAAAATATACATAGGTTCACCAGAAATTTCGCGTTTTATAGAGGGAAATTTTGCAACGCCGTATTTGTTTCCTTAGTACGGCAGAATATCTGAAGAATTCTAAATAAAAGCGCAAGACTGGAAATATGCAAAAACATAAACATTTATCTTATGAACATTTCTCATGATACCTTAACACTCTCAATGCCTGTTACAACGTTCAGTTTCAAGAAATTTTGCACCCTTAATTGTAAGCAATGCCTTAAATTAAAACTCAGTTTCTCTGTTTAATGCGTTTACATTCAATCCTCCCCCACAGTCGCAAAGGAAGAATCCAATTTTTTACATTTTTTTCTCCCCTATTGAATGTGTATATGTCGCATATAATTAACAATCGCCGGAATTTTGCAAGCCACTACTGATTAAATAAGGAAAAACATTAAATTCAGATAGATAATAGAGTACTAATTCGTTATCTTCAATGTAAATATGCATACTTCCTCCAGTGGCGTGGCCTGGATGATCGATTATCGATATTTCCCCATTTGAGGCAATGGTAAATAATCGATTATTAAGGTGTTCGTCGCAAACACCCTGTTTCTCGATTCTTTTCCATATTTTTAAATGGCAGATCAATCGATAAATCGCGAAACACACCACGCCATTGATCAGTTCCTATTCGTGTTTCTTGTGTACTGCTCTAATTTTTTTCATCTGCGAAACCTTGATTTTGTTTCCTCCTTTTCCTCTTTTTCTGTCATTAGAAAAACGAAAGGTAGGAAAACCTCAGTCTCGAGATCTCTATTTATAAGATGGGTCCTTAAGAGGTATATTTTTATTTACCGCTGACTTCTTCCTCCTAAAAAAGCATGGTAGTAACAGGCACTTTCAGGGAAGTTTGTAGTGTGATCCACGACCATAACTGAGCTTGGATCGGACAGGCGACTAAACTAACTCCCCGACAATGCGTAGAGTATCATAAAAAATGAAGGCGCTCCAAGTTTGCATCGTGCTTTTAGAGGTCATTGCATTATTACGATTCATTTAGACAACAAGACAGCGTTATCAGCGTCGGTGGCGTAGCGTGCTTTGCGATGTATCGACTGATCTGCCATTTAAACCTATAGAAAAGGATCGAAACACAGGGTGTTCGCAACGAACACCTTAATAATTGATTATTTACCATAGTCTAAAATGGGAAAATATCGATAATCGATCATGCACGCTACGCCACTGATCAGACGAATTCTGACGGATTCTAATTGCTTGTGACACATTCAACATAAACAGGTGCTTAAAAAAAAAAAAAAATAGATTCCTTATCATCCAAACGAGACGACCTGTTGCCGCGGTAATTTGGCTACGCCAGAGCTATGCCTCCTTAAGAAAAAACGCCGTATGAGCACTCGAGAGTTGCCAAATTGCCTCCGATTAAATGTTTATTTTGGAGCAGAGTTATGAATTCATTTTTCCTTGAAACTTCAGATTATTTAGATCTGATTGCGAATGAAATTCTCGGAAAATCCGAAGGAAAAATATTCACAGATTTCCTTGAAAGTCCAACTTCTTTACGCCCATACGGCGTTCTTCCTCAGTACGGCAGAGTCAAGTTTGAAGTGTGCGTGTGGGGCGACGATAAAACGGTAACCAATCGGCTGGAAAATGTCCATTTCGGTCTTGCATTTCGCCTCCGTTTCATGAGTCCTTTATCGACAAAACACACGCGAGCTTCGCGCCAGAGGCGTGGCGTGCTGTGCAATGTATCGATTGATATGCCATTCATACCTTTGAAAAAATATCGATTATCAGGGCGTTCGCAAAGAACACCATAATAATCGATTCTTTAGCATAGCTTCAAATGGAATAACATCGATAATCGCCACTGCTTCGCGTCATAACGAGAAGCGCGGAACTTCATTGTAAAAAAGTGATGGAAAACTGACTACCGAGTGATTCAGTAGGTTGAATTTACCTGGTATCAGCATAATTACATTTCACATTGTCAAATTTCTTTTCATATTTTATTAAATTTTATGGGTTTATTTACACGAAATCTGTGTAACATAACGTTTCAAAACTTTAAGTGAGTTTTTCCTAAATTTAAAAAGTGTTTTCGCATAATTCATAGGCGGATCTATAGA